ATTTAGTTGAGACATAATGAGGCTATTTCTACTGTTTTGAGTTATCCATTTTAACTGTAATTATATGCTCAGTCATGATTCTTAATTTCAATATCATATATTAGTCTCTGCTATCATACACTGTTACATCATATGTTATTATTGTTTGGGCTGAGTGGTACGAGATTTGTGAGCCCTTGAGACTTGAGAGATTGAAGACTGAGGTGGGCCTGAGAACCGAGTTGTGAGTGTTATTGGGGATCGGGCTGTACATCGCAGCATGCCATATTGGCTTTATAATTATTATGTGGATCGAGTTGCAGGCCGCAGTAAGCCTTATAGGCTTTATATTAGCGCTTGGGCAGGATCCACCCCTCCGGAGTCTGACGTACCAGCAGTGAGCACATGCACAGTGATATATACATGTGCTTTGGTGAGGGGTATTGATGCTAGGCACCCGTAAAATGCTGAGTGATTATGTGTGATTTCTGTGGGCATTTGACAGGCAGATTGAGCACTCCGAGAGTGTGAGTACTTGGGAGATATATACATTTGACATGCATATTGATATGTAGGCATAGAGATATACCATTCCTCATGCTAGTTGTACTTGACATGTTCTTATCAGTATTGGACTTTAATTGTTGAACTTGAAAGCATGTCTAAATTTTCTGTAACATGAATGAGCTGATTTTGATAATTAATCTGAGTCGTTTGTTGTTACTGCCATTATTATACATGTGTTATCATTTTATTGAACCTGACTGTTTTCTTCTGAGCTCGTCTCTGCTTTCAGTCCAAGGTTAGTTCTGTTACTTATTGAGTACATGTGGTCGGTTGTACTCATACTACGCTCTGCACTTCGTGTTCTAGGTACATCTGGACGTGATGATTGCTAGATATGTGCTAGTACCAACTTAGGAGACTTCGAGGTAGCTGCTATGACGTCCGCAAACCTTGACTCTCTCTCCTTTTATTTTTTTCAATGTTGTTCTATTACTCAGATAGTTGTACTAGAGTTTTGGCTTATGGTGATACTTAGTAATGCTCATGTACTCGTTGACACCAGGTTTTGGGGTGGTTGTAGTAGCATTTCAGTTATTTTTATCAGATGTTTATGAGATTTTCCGTTGTTGAGCTTATTAAAATATGTTTTATTCAAATATTTAGCTGTAATGTGATTGTCGGCTTGCCTAGCAAGTGTGTTAGGCGTCATTACGACAGGTTGAGATTTTGGATCGTGACATTAGTGGTTCCGTAAGAATCACCGACATCAACAAAATATGCAACATTGATATTGATGCAATTATTGGTGATGTGAGGGGAAATGGACTAATATGCTTGGAGTTGAACTAGTCATTGATCGTGAACTGAAAACTCCTGCAAGAGTTGAAACTCTATGTCATGGACAAGATGAAAGTCAATTTCTGTCTCTTAATTGTGTTATATTAATTCATCATCCTTTTTAATTCTAAGCAATTTTTTTACAAATGAGCCGACATGACTAACTCTTCTGTTTGCCTTTCAGACATGGGTGTATTAATTGGCAAGGGTGAATTCTATGGAAATATCTTCAGAATTACACCTCGACTTTGTTTTTCTAAAGATGATGCACAATTTGCTTACATGTGCTTCAATCTTCCTTTTTTTAAAAAAAAAAATTAAAACTTGGGTGCCTAAATAAACTGTTTCTTGCAGACTTTCTAGAGGATGTTATGGATTATGTAATATCAAAGATGTGAATCTTCCATTCTTCCACAAGCATACATCCAAGATTTGAGGTTATAGTTCATTTCCTAGTTTAACTCTACAACGAGTAAAGATCTTAGTGTTATTGTCGATGAAACTCTTAATATACATATGATCTTTCTCTGTGTATTGTAAGGTCCGCTTCAGTTGATGCAGTAATCTGACAATCATATAATGAGCCAACAACTCGTTGTCTCTACACATCCATCTTGTTTATCTTTTTGGGCGCCTAGAACCAAAAAATTACTCACCCCCTCAAAAAAAGAATCTCAGTGCACCCACATAGATTGTGAACGTTAACACTCTTCATTTCAGTGAGAATGATGATTTTAGGGTACTAGTGAGTCGGTCACTACCTCTATAGGGTATTTTTGACAATAGCTTCTCGATCAATTAATAGACTTATATGAGTTACCTCACCTGCAGGATCTTAATAAATTGCAATGTTTAACATTTAGTTTTTGGTTCCTCTATTATGTCGATGTTGCACCACAAAGGAAACTGTTATATTAAGGTACTAAATCTATACATCCTTAAGATTTTGATTTGCTCAAAGTCTTTCATATAGTATCAAAGTCAAATTTTAATAGGTCTGTTTTAGCCGTCAGCTCCACTCTTTGAGGTTTGAGCTTCTTTTTCTGGGTGCATTAACACCGTTATGAGTTTAAGTAAAACACTTCTGCATCTATACCAATTAAGTAATATGGTATTTTCTTATCATTAAATATTTCAAAATATCTTAACAGGCACCATTCCGCTAGCAAATTTATTTTATACAACTTTTACGTATTTTAAAAATAATTCTATTTAACTAATTAATAATTGAATTTAGCTTTGAAATGATGTCTTTCTCTATTAAACTAACTTTTGATTACTATTTTAACAGTATCTTTTACTACTACATATGATATAGTACAAGTAATTAACATTTCAAACGTCATGTCTAATTAAATAGTTTGACATAATTAGAACGCGGAGAGCAAAACGTAGCAATTAAAATTAGAATAAACTTGCACGCACAGACAAGTGCACACTACAGCGTTCAAACCTCGGCATTGCAGATCTATACCAGTGTTTTAAAAAGCGGGGGCGTGAGGCCGGGCGTTTTACCCACTATAAGGCGAGACTTAAGCATGAGGCATGGGGCGTAAGCTCCATGAATCTTTAAATTTTTTAATTTATAAATTAATAAAATAACATAAAAATTATAGAAAGTACATTCAAAATTTTAAGAAAATTACAAATAATTAAAAAACTCGTAGAAAATAAAATATCTAGCATGTTTTGATTGGCAAAAAAAATCAATGATGTTAGTTTTACTATGAAACACAAATCAATTATAACGTCTTAACTTTCAAATAATAATAAGAAATCACAATTTCTTAATAAATATTATTAAATTAAATATTGCACCTTCCTAAAAGTAAATAATTAATAAACTTCACCAGTGTTATAATTTAAAGTATTACTCCTTCATGAATAAATACAAAATTACTTTCAAATAGCAAAATAATAAAAGTTTGATAATTTTGAGAAACAAAGAAGATAGAACTAAGACATAAAGGCCAATAGCAAGTGGAGATATGAAGTTTGGCTATCTATTTTAGAAAAATATTCAAAATATATTCACGCTCACGTTGTTCTCAATTAATAAATATGCAATATTATAACTCGTTATTTGAGTCTCTCTCAATCTTCATATTCCTATAGATGAATAAAACTTTAATCATTCATTTGTTAAAGAATTTTGAGGGTTAATAGTGTTAATTAGGAAATTGACACATGATTTGAGTAATAATTGTTGGGCGAGCCTCGAACGTCGGGCATTAGGCGTGTTTAGGGAGCTTCACAGAACTATGCCCCACACGTGAGTCTCAGGGTGTTTTGATAGTGCCTCGTCCTGGGGCGAGCGCTGAGCAAGTCCCAAAATAGTCTTTTAAAACACTGATCTATACATACATATATTAATGACATAGGGATCGCATATTCTTGCTCAAAGTTTTTGTATCAAACTTAACAAAGGTCATGCTAAGTCAAAAATACTCCTGAGTTACGTTTTTGAGTTTTGGAAAGATCTGCCTGTTTTGAGTTGTATGATTACACTCCAAAAAATAGGAGCTTTTGTATACTGGGAACTTGAGAACTTTGATGAAGTAAATCTAGGTTCTTGCCTCCTTTTCAATTAAGCACTAAAATTTTGAAGGGTTCATCAAACTTTGGCTGATCACTAATCATCACTTTACCTAGGGATGCACAAAGAAAACCGATAAATCGCACCAAACCGATAATTCGAGTCAACCCGGAAAAAAAACCCCGATTGTGGTTTGGTTTGATTTAATTTAGTATTTGAAAAAAACCGATCATAATTGGTTTGGTTTGGTTCAAACTAAAAAAAAGTCAAACCGAAATCAAATCAACCCGATAGTATATTTATATAATTTTTAAAAGTATTTTATACATATGAATATTTATTGTAATGTAATTTATAAATATTTCTTAAACTTTGTCATAGTTTTATCTTTTAACGTATTATTTCAAGTTTGAACTTTACATTCTTGAATGGTAAATAAATTTTATAGCCCATAAATGTAGTAACTCAAACAAAATTCAAATAAATACAATGCTAACAAAAGAAATTCAATTCAACACTAGGAATGATGATAATGTTGGATATCTATTTTTTAGTTTTACATTGGTTTATAATGAAAATGCATAACTTAGTTTATCTTTTTTTTTTAGTGATTAGTTATGTAATTAATAGTACTTATTAGCTATACTTATTTTCGCATGACCTATATAGTATTTTTAGATTATATTAATTTTTATTATCGCTTATTAATTAGCAATATTTGCTTTAGGCAATTTTATTATCTTTGTTATTAAATATTTTAGTATAATATTATGACTTTTCTCATATTTTATTGTGTTATTTTCTTGGAAAATATATTATATAGTTGTATCTTACTAGGACTAAAGAAATATTTGGAGCACAAGTTACATATTTTGTGTTATGAAGACTTTACCCGAAAAAAATTCGAAAACCCAAAAACCTCGAAAAAAATCGAGATTGAAAAACCCGACTTTGTTGGTTCGGTTTGATTTATAGATTTAAAAATCCGACACTGTTGATTTGGTTTGGTACTTAAAAAATTCGAACCAACCCGACTTAGGTACGCCCGTAATTTTTACCTAATGAAATAGAACAAAGATGCCATCTAGTTTCGAGTTATCTATAACTTCGTTGATCAAACAATCATTATTACACTCTCAAAAATCAACAACTCTATCAATTAGTAACATTTTACTAATGAAGGATCCAAAATTAAAGCGATGTTTCTTAATAGTCATAAAAAATTACAAACACTAATGAAGAGAGGAAGGGAATGATCATTATTCTTAGCTCAAGAATCTTCCACAAGGAAAATTGACAAGGGAGAGGCAATTTACTTGCAGCAACATTACATATTTAGACAAAGCGGCCGGACCGGGCTCGACGATATCGGAATTAATTGATTCTATGATCTACTTAATAGTAGAGAGAGGAGACTCTTTCAAACCTTATCGATCGGGCCGAACACGCATAGGTGAATAGTGGCGAGCAGATACAGAACTAGACCTCCTTAGAACAAACATGCCTGAAAATCGAACCATTGAATTCAGAATCCAAACTAAGTCCCCCAACACATAAGCCAATTCCTCGTATATGCTCATGCTTTTCCTTAACATTACACGCATCACTACTGTCATTGCATCTCGAAATCTAATCATTTTAATGCTTTCTCTGAGATGTGTGGAGAAAGTCACACGAGTTATCAGTGTTCAATGAATTCCGAGTCTATCTATTATATGGGGCAACAAAACAAAGGCCAGATGACCTAGAACTTCTTTCTTTCTTCCTTCTTCTTTCTTTCTTTTAAATCTTTGAATGAATGAAAATAATATGTGAACACTTGTGCACTAGTATCAATTATTTGACATTAATTATTAGTATAATAAAACTCTAAAGAAAGAAAGAAGTACTAAAGGGCATGGTAGACTTACTTAAATACCCTTTTTCTTTAACTTATCAAAGCTTCTCACTACTTGTGAAAAATTAATGTAGAAGTTGAAGAAAATGATGAATTCTAGTGCTTTATTTAAAGAAAAGCAACCATTTCCTTGCAGCTTGTTTTCTTGGAATCTCAGCTCCAAAACTGCAAAGAAAACATTGTTAGAACTGATCAAAAGGGGTTTTCTATAAATCAGATTAAAAAAGCTGAAGATTGAATTTTTACTTTAGTTTTTACCAAGGTGCTTTTGATAGAGCCATGTTGTAAATCCATATTTATTCACATTAATTAAGCTGCGCTATTTGGCTATCCTTTTTCTTTCTTTGTTCTTTTTGTAAATGTGAGATAAAGGGGCAAAAATGTCAAAAGAATCAAAGGATGTCTGACAGGTATGAGAAAATTAAGAAATGAGCACATAATGAAATCATTCTAGGCTCGAACAGCCTGACTTAGAGCATCCGTACAAATAAATATATAGACCTTCAAGTGAAATATGTCGTCATAGGCATGCCCCATGCTACACACGATCTGATTTTGATGCAATTCCATTGGATCTATCGTGACTAGATTTCAATTTGTTTTTCGTGGTTGACATAATTTAATTTATCATATAGTTTGGCCCGTGTAATAAGTGGTAACTTTTCAATTTTTCTTTGTAAGGTTAGTAATTTATCAACTTCATACTTTGTAGTCGCTCACGCTACTTGTTAACTACTACTCCCTCTTTTTCGATTTACGTGAATCTATTTTCTTTTTGGTCCATTAAAAAAAGAATGACTTCTTTCTAAATTTGATAACAATTTAGCCTAAACTTACAATTCCACCCTTAATGAGAAGCTTTTATAACCACACAAATACTCTGGCCCCTTTTTAACTTGTTTAGGACCATAAATTCCAAAAATCTTCATTTTTTTCTTAAACTCTGTATCCAAAGGCGGAACTAGGAGTTAAAGTATATGGGTTCTAAATTTTAAGATAGGACCGGCCTAAATTTAATATACAGTAACAAGCATACTAAAGAACGAGTACCGATATTTAATATATACTCCAGAAATTTGAGCTTTGTAATAGTTTGTGATCATATCGACTCTCAGAAGGACCTAAAAATCACAAAAAAAAAAAAAAAAAATACAAATTACACTTTGAGGGTATTCACAAAGCTGCACATCTCAACAGATTTGAATTTTAAGCCTCCTATTATTAGAATTTTAAGGTTGATTTACTCATACAAATGGAAAATACATCTTCTTAACATAAAATCAGAATGTAATGAGTTGGTTATTTAGATAATCTTTAAATAAATACCTTTTTCATCCTTAATCAATTGGTAGCAGTTCCAACATATTAATTAATTCATCTTTCATTGTTCAGGCTTCACAGAGCAACTAATTCATCCAGCATATTATTCTTCTTTCTTTATTGCAATTGTTTATACTCTCTGAATGTTTTACTTACAAATATGGCGTCTTAATTATTCTAAATCATAGCAACCAATTACTTTATTTAAAAAAATAATAAAAGAGGACAACAATCCATCAAATACAAAAGTTGATAATATGCGGAACCGATGTATGAAATTTTGGGAAACACAAAAGTACAAATTGACAAAGAGAATAAATGTCAAAATATGAAACAACCCTAGAATCAAAGATTAAAATCAGATTTTGTATAAATTATTACCACAAATATGTGAAATATAAGAGGGAAAAAATAAAAAAATAATAATAATCGAACAGAGAAATAAAAGGAGAAAGAGTATTTACACCGGTACCAACGGTATTAGCGTGATGGCAGAACCCTAACTTTCTTTGGGATTTTGATTTGGGTGAAGGAACATTTTTTGTTTTGTTTAGAGGAGCAGTTTTTTTGTTTAATTTGATTTATATTTTCTTACCAAAAAATAAAAGGTACTAAATGAGTTTCTTTGTTATCAAGTCTGGATGGGTTTCTTCGTTCCATGTAGGGGTGTACATGAGGCGGTTTGGTTCGGTTTTTTATTAAATCAAAATCAAACCAACTATGTCGGTTTACTAAATTTATAATCAAATCAAACCAACATAAACTCGGCTTTTTCGGTTTCGGTTTTAGTCGATTTTCTTGATTTCTTCAGTTTTTCGGTTTTCCTTTTTAGTTATATTGTGCTTGAAAAAGAGATCAAATAATTACCAATTATCTGCATGATTACTATTCATTAAAATAATCTAAGATAACAGTTCTACCCTGTAACGACTCGGCCGGTCGTTTTGAGAATTTAAGTCTCGTTCGGCTGTATAAGGCCCTGAGTGGCTTCGTATTATGTGTATTGACTTGCGTGCGTGGTTGAATTCAGTTACCGGATGATTCGGAGTGATTTGGGACACTTAATCCCTAAAACGGAAGCTTACGTCCTAGGATTTTGACCGTAGTTGGAACTGTGTGAAGACGACTCAGAAATTGAGTTCTGGCAGTTTCGTTAGCTCCGTTGGGTGATTTTGGACTTAGGAGCGTGTCCGAGCGATGAATTTGATGTCTGTAGCTGATTTAGGCTTGAAATGGCGAAAGTCGAATTTTCGGATATTTTGACCGGAAGTAAACTTTTTGATATCGGGGTCAGAATGCGATTCCGAGAGTTGGAACAACTCCGTTATGTTATTTGGGACTTGCCTGCAAAATTTGACGTCATTCCGGGTTGGTTTGATAGGATTCGGCGGGAGTTTTAGAAGTTGGAAGATTTGAAAGTTCATAAGTTCGATTCATGGTGCGATTCATAGTTTCGATGTTATTTGATGCGATTTGAGACCCTGAGCGAGTCCGTGTTAGGTTATGGAACCTGTTGGTATGTTTAGACGGGGTCCCGGGGGTCTCGGGTGAGTTTCGGATGGGCTACGGGCCATTTCCTTTTATTTTTGGACTGCTATTTTCTGTCATCAGGTTTCCTTAATCACGCCTGCATCACTTCCTCCGCGTTCGCGTAGTGTAATTTTGGAGGATGAATTATTTTTTCTCCGCGTTGGCATAACTCCTTCGGCGATCGCGGAATCCTGCCTTCCCCTTCTTCGCGTTCGCAACCGCTCCATCGCGTTCGCGTAGTAGAAACTAGGAGCTGGAAGCTGGTGACCATTTCCTCTACGCGTTCGCACTGCTCTATCCGCGAACGCGTTAGTGTGCTTTCTCTTCCTTCGCGTTCGCGTGCCTCTTCACGCGTTCGCGTAGCCCATTTCCTGGGCCATTATTTTCCTTTTTCGTGAACGCATATGCTTGTTCGCGATCACACAACACCAATTCCGTGCAATAGCCATTTCCTCTTTGCGATCGCAGCTCCTCTTCCGCGATCGCGATGTACAAATACCTGGGCAGAATATAAAGTTCTCTATTCCGAGGGTTAGCCATTTTAAACATTTTTGGAGTTCTAGAGCTCGGTTTTGAGCGATTCTTTGTGGGTTTTTCAAGCAAATCGATTGGGTAAGTGTTCTTTACCTAGAATTTGTTATATTCCATGATTTTATCTTTATTTTTATCATTTATTTTGTGTTTTGAGTTGAGGAAAATGGAGGTTTTGAAGAAAAATTTCAAATGAGAAATCATGATTTGAGGGACGAAATGGTATCAAAATTTGATAAATTTAGTATAGTTAAACTCGTATCGGAATGGGTGTTCGGATTTTGTAAAAATTTATCGGGTTCCGAGGTACATGCCCGGGAGTTGATTTTTGTCCTTTGAAGTTATTTTAATTAGATTTGAGCCGTCCGGAGGTCATTTCACCCGAGAAGTTCATTTTAGAGTATCAATTTGTCTTCTTTGAGGTAAGTATCTTGCCTAACCTTGTGTAGGGGAACTACCACTTAGGATTTGAGTCTTCTACGTTGATTGTAGTCCGTGTGCGCGAGGTGACGAGTACGTGCTCGGACTTATATGTTAAAATTGGCCTTTTAGGGTTCCTAGGTCCTTGTATTCATTAAATATGCAGTTGTACTTGTTATGATTACGTTCCTTAATTACTAATTTCACCTTTTCCTGCTTAATTAGAATTGATTGCTTCATGATTCACTCTTATTGCTTTTTTGATTCATATGTGCCTTAACTGAAATTGTTACCTTTCTATTGCCATGTTATCCTTTCCCTTACTGCTTATCTTTAATTGAAATTATTACTATCTCTTCTGTAATTGTTCAGCCTTAATTGAGGTTATGGTTACCTTTCCGCTACTTCTTAGCTGAATTTATTGTATCTCTTTCCTAATTGTCCAACCTTAAAAGAAGTTAGATACCCTATATTTTTGTTGGCTTGTCCTTATTTGGAATTATTCGACTTGTGTTAGCTTCCTCGTTGTCGAACTGTATATTGTGGACCATTGTTACATAGTACTTCTTTTCTTGTTGAGATGTTCTTATTATGACTAGCATTCCCCGATTGTGGCTACTTCTTGTGAAATAGTTCCTCCATTTTTTTAAGTTCTGGAATCTCTGAGTTGACTTATTTGTGGTACCCTTGTATTATTGTCATTGTTGTTGTTGTACTTGTTGTTGTGATGCACGAGGTTTCTGCCGTGCGGTTGTTGTTATTGTGATGCACGAGGTTTCTGCCGTGCAGTTGTTGTTATTGTGATGCACGAGGTTTCTTCCGTGCGATTGTTATTGGGTTGCACGAGGTTTCTGCCGTGCTATTGTTACTATTGATATTTGCACATGCGGCGTGACAAGGCGGGATATATATATGTAGGTTGCGCATATGGCGAGACAAGNATGCACGAGGTTTCTGCCGTGCGGTTGTTGTTATTGTGATGCACGAGGTTTCTGCCGTGCAGTTGTTGTTATTGTGATGCACGAGGTTTCTTCCGTGCGATTGTTATTGGGTTGCACGAGGTTTCTGCCGTGCTATTGTTACTATTGATATTTGCACATGCGGCGTGACAAGGCGGGATATATATATGTAGGTTGCGCATGAGGCGAGACAAGGTGGGAACATTATTATGCATGTGTGGCGAGACAAAGCGGGCATTTATTTTACTATTGCACACGTGGCGAGACAAGGCGGGCTATGTCAGGGTGTCATGACCCAAATTCTCCCTCCGTGAATCGTCGTGACGGCACCTAGTCACTACGACTAGGTAAGCCTAACACTTGCGGAAATAAAATGAAAAAGAAAAATATGAAAATTAACAACTAACAGTAACAGATTTTTTTAATAAGCAATTGAGATGCCGCTCGGCATATACAATAATCAACTCTCAAAATATACATGATACTCCCAAGACCCGGAACACCGTAAGTCACAAGCTTCTACGAAGTTATAACTATTCTATATATCAGTGTCTATAGAAATAAGAGAAGAATCAACATAGGGAGGTAAAGGGGGACTTCGAGGATCTGCGGGCGCGGGCAGATGTACCTTGAAATTCTCCGAAAACAGCAGCGACTGCAACTAAGGACAAGGCTGGT